TTATTTTTATTTTTATTATTGAATAATTAAGGTTAATTATATATTTTCACTAAAAAGGCAAATATAAAAAACGGCTCTATAGCAATAGGCCCATCAAATCGCTAAGAAATGGAACTAAGTGCACCCCTAAAATTTATCATTTACTAGACGCCATTTATACTGCAAATGCCCCTACATAAATCATTATATATCATTATTTAGACTGCATTTTTAGTATTTTTTATTTAAAAAAAAAATTCTGAATTTTTAATCAAACTCATACAATAATTTTATAACCTACTATGTAAATCGCACTAAAATATACTAGAACATCGATAATTAATATAATAGCCAATGAATAAATAAACTTGTTTAAATAATATTTTTCGTCGGTCCGAACTCAGTGACAACGTGGTAAATTAGTAACTTGTTTACATGCAGCACTCAGTTATCTTTTCTCCGTCAAACATTATTTTTGAAAAACTTAATTTTGTTCAAGATATGTTAAACATATATTTTGTTATGATAAATTCAACTTTGCGATTAATTTTCCAATTCAAGGGTGCTTTTACCATTTCACGGCTAATATATTTAACCATCATATATTTAAATTTTTTTCATTAATATCCATGCATCGCACGAGGAAAAAAAATAATTAATGCATAAATTAATAATATTCGATAAATGTTGAATTCAATTTTGATTTTAAAATAAATGGAATTTTGAAATTTATGCATACCTCAATGTGTTTATGGTAGTTTACCCAGTTTACCCAAAATAAAACACGTGGTAGTCATTTACCTGGTACGTGGTACGTAGGATTGCAGATTGGCTAACCAATGAAAAACAAAAACAAAATGTCTGCTAATTTCCCAGGTATGTATGTGGTCCCACAAAATATTTATAATGACAAGATATATATTCGCTAGATATTTAAGGTAATGCTATGTACTTTTCTCTTTACATATATGCCTATGTTGGGGTTTTATTTTGGGTAAAGTGGTCCACAGTTTAGCTGAAGAAAAAAGAAAAGTACAGTTTGAGTCTTTGAGATATGAAATGTTATTCATAGTGCCAGTTTTACTATCTTGCAGTACACTATAACTTTATTTCATTTTTAGATTGGTCCACCAATTAAAAATGGTAAATTACAATCACCCACTGAAGTATGGTCAAATTACAAAAACCCCCCTTTTATTTGGATAACTACAACCACCCCTCAACTATAAATCTTTTTACACGTTCAACCTTGCTGTTTCAAATTTCGTGGAATTTTCGAGATTATATGGATTATTATCACTTTTGTACCCGTTTTATCATATTCGAACTCCACATTTTAAAGTAAGATGATCATTATATGTGTTTTTAAGCTTGTACATATCAGATTGTGGTGCATCAGAAATTGTATTTTTACAAAAAACGAATACAAACTAGAGCACATTTCACGAAATCTAGATGATTATGTTCAATTTGACACCATAAGGGTGGAGATGTAAGAAAAAATCATAGCTGAGGGGGTATATGTAATTATCCAAACAAGAGGGTTTTTTTTTCGTAAATTGACCATACCTCAGGGGTGGTTGTAATTTACCCATTAAAAAACAAAGGGTAATGGCAAATAGGCCCATGACAAGGGCACTTAATTAAAATAGGGACATCCAACTTTTTTGTCTTTCAAATAAATCCAACTCATTCAAACTTATTTGCAAATAAGGAAAATCCTTTTATATATACCAAAATTACCCCCAATTCATTGAAACTCAATTTAACTCCAATTTCATGATTTACACCCCAATTTAGCCCAATTTCATCAATTAACCAATTTTAACCCTAATTTCAATTTTGACCCGCCACCACCGGAGACCGCCGGTCGCCGTCGTTGACCGCCGGTCTCCGGCGTTGACTTTTTTTTTTTTTTTTATAATTTTGTTTTTTCTTAAAAAAAATATTTTAATTAATATTACTGTCTTGGCTGCTAAATTACTGTCTCCGGCAGTTATTTAACTGTCGGAGACAGTAATTTAACTGTTAATTGACTTTTTTTTTTTCTTCAAAAATATTTTAATTAATATTACTGTATTCGTTGCTAAATTACTGTCTCCAGCAGTTATTTAACTGTCGGAGACAGTAATTTAACTGTTAATTGATTTTTTTATTCTTAAAAAACATACTTTTAATTAATATTACTGTATTCGTTGCTAAATTACTGTCTCCGGCAGTTATTTAATTGTCGGAGACAGTAATTTAACTGTTAATTGACTTTTTCTTTTTTTTTTTGAATTTTTTTCCTTAAAAAAATTATTTTAATTAATATTATTGCATTGGATGTTAAATTACTGTCTCCAACAGGGGGGGGGACTGTCTTAGACAATAAGGGGGGGGAATATTACTGTTCGGAAAAATAATATTCATAATATTACTGTCCCAAACAGTAATATTACTGTCTGAGACAATAATTTAGTAGCCAAGACAGTAATATTAATTAAAATATTTTTTTTCTAAGAAAAACAATTCAAAAAAAAAAAGTCAACGCCGGAGACCGGCGGTCAACGGTGGTTGACCAGCCGGAAAAAAAATTTTAGGAAAAAAAAAATTCAAAGAATAAAAAAAAGGAGTCAACGCCGGAATCTGGACATTTCAGAAAAAAATTTATTTTCTGAAAAAAAAAAGTTTTGGGGGTTAATGTGATATATTTGTTTAAATTCGAGGTCAATGTGTAATATTAAGGAAGTTAGAACATAATGGGTGAAATTGATAAGAATTATATTATTGAGGGTATTTTAGACTAAAGACATGGGGATGGGCTTAATTGAGAGACTGTTTTTTTTTTGGACTAAAATGTATTTAAGTCCCATGTGATGGTTTTTTTGACATTTGCCCAAAAAAACAAAAACAAAATATTCTTAACTAGTTCACAGGTATGTGGTCCACAAAATAATTCATATTGTCAAGATATTAGATATTTAAGGTAATGCAATAGAGTTTCCTCTTTACCCATCTGCCTATGTTGGGGTTTCTTTTTTTGGCAAATTGATCAACAGTCCAATCTGAAGAGAGAGAAAAAAAAATTACCCTATTGAGATTCGATTTTGTATTACGTTAACAACAACAAATAAAGGTGACACCGTTAGTTTTAGAGTAAACCCGTTAGTTTTAAGGCGATTTGACATATTTACCCTTAGCATCTTCTTCCTCCCTCCTCTTCTCCCTCTTTTCTTTTTTCTTTTTTTTTTTTTTTCCCTCCCCCTCTGTTCTTCACGAGCAATACACAGAATTTCATCATCAAAAAAATCATTTTTTTCATCAATCATTGGGTAACAGTTTACAGATTCAAATCAATGGGTTGGACTCATCTATTGCGCAATCGTCTCCACAAACGGGTCAGAAAAGATTACCCTCGAATCCACGGCGGCGCCACCTTTCTTTCACCACCACCACCACCACCACCACCGTCATGGGTCTTTCCATCTCCTCTTTCAACTTCTTTTCTGGCAACCAAAACCCCCAAGAAATTCAAGAAGAAACGCAAAAAAGATGAGCCGATTTCAACAAAGTCCCAAATCTGAAACCCTTCTATTTGTGAGTTGGGGAGAAAAAAATCAGGGTTTTGATTCCTCTGTTTGTCACCTTCAATTAGCCAAGCCATGAGAATGGAAAAAATGGAAGTACCCAGACATTAAAGTCTACAATCCTTTATTATTCTTCAATCAAGATTATGAACGTTTGCTGTATTCAATTTCTGGCAAAATAAAAGAAAGAGAAGAATATATATATATATATATATATATATATATATATATATATATATCTATATATATATATATATATATCTATGTATCTCTCTCTGTCTCTATATATATATACTATATATCTCTCTGTATCTCTATATATCTATATATATCTATATATATACATATATATATATATATATATATATATATATATCTATATATATATATATATATATATATCTATATCTCTATATATATATATATATATATATATATATATATATATATCTATATATATATATATATATATATCTATCTCTATATATATATACATATATATATATATATCTATATATATATATA